ATTATCATAATAATGTAATAAAAATAAAATTCTTAATTTACCAAAATATTGTAGCTACTATTAAGCCAGCTGCAAGATAATCAATAAATATCATATAAAATAGTAATTTTATAAATTGAAGAAATCCTAATCCCAAAACTATGGTAAAACCAACAGAAGATATACATAGACAACACATTAATAATACCAAAAATGCAGGATCATCTCTTGCAAATTGAGATTTTGTTTCTAAAAAAAAAAAAATATAATTTTTACTATATATTTTAATATATTATAATATTATTTGTAAATAAGATAACTTACGTTTTCTACTTTGAAAATTTCTATATACTTTTTGTGGTGATATAAATAAAAAAATCATTTGCCATAAAGCGAATTCAAAATCCATTTGTTCAAATTTTAATAATTTTCTTAAGTACTTGTAACATTTTGTTGCTGCACCCATACAATCTTGCCTAAAATAAATTTATAATACTTAAATTTTAAAGAAATGTATTATAACTGGAAATATAATTTTGTACCTGTAAGTTACTGGCATGGGTAAATTTGAACTTGTTTCACTAGGACCAGGAGAGTTACACCTACTTACTGGTGGTGATGTAGAATATTTCATTTTAAAATCTATGTAAAATAAATTAATTATTATATAAATTTTAAACAAATCATAAAAAAATAAGTAATATTTTTGATATATATTATTTGATATATATATTATATAATAATAATTAATATTTTTATAATATAAGAATTATAATCTTTTATCACGATTATTACTAATGCTTTTTATTGCTTTTTAAATTATAATAAATCACAATTAATTCTATCAATTAGATATATCATTTATTATTATAGGTTATGTTTATGCATTAAATTATAAAAGTTATATGATTAGATATGATAGTTATCTTTTCAACAAATAAACAATATTATGTAATTATTATTTTAATTATATAAAAGAATATTTATTTTTATTACGTCGTATATTTAAAATCAAGATTACTTGACAACGATGGCTATTGGCTAAATTCTATTCAATCTATATTTCAATTTTTTATATTTATATTATTTTACGATTGTTAAATATATAGCAATATTTTAACATTAACTATATTGTATATTATTTAAAAAGATTAAATATTATATTTAAAATCAAATATAAAAAAATATATCAATAATAAATTTATTGTTATATCTTTTCTTATATATATTTTTATAAATAATTATAATTTTTTAATATATTTATATATTTTTAAATTCTCGATTTCAATAAAAAAACTATATATATAGGTATATATAATGGAAAAGTTTCAAAGATTA